AGATCAAGTTCAAGCCCTTAAAATGACCTACAAGAACTTCATGATCTGGTCCCACATTACCTCTCTGATCTCATCTATTTTTCTCTCCTTTACTCACTCACTACAGTCACACTGTTCTCCTTGCTATTCCTCAAACACAATAGATAAGTTATATTGATTGGGTTGGCGGAAAAGTCATGACGCATTTTTGCAACGAAAAACAGAAAAAATACGTCATGACTTTTCTGACAGCCCAATAGCTTCAAGGCCACTCATTTGCTATTTCTTCTGCTCACTCTTTTCTCTGCATGGTTCACTCTCTGACCTCTACTTCTTTATTCTCTGCTCAAATAGTTTTTTTACTCAAGATTCGTCTCCCCTTAACCAGAATATAGGTGTTATAAGGCCAAGTATTTGCATGTTTTGTTTACATGGTGTCTAGAACAGTTCCTGGCATACAGTAGGTGCACAATAAGTATTTGAAGGCAAGTTGGGGTACTGAAGAATGTTGAGTAGAAAAAAGACCAGTTATCCTTTTCACCAGTGTGTATTAAACCAGAGATAACAAAGAGAGCTTTTATCATATCTAATCTCTTCTAAGATTATAAACAAAGAAATATGTCATTATTTTGTCATATTCTGGGTTAAATTTCAAAGATACTATTTATATACAGCTTGCACTATCTATAACAAAAAAGTTACGTAGATTAATTGAACTATTAATATAGGGGAGGTTATTTAGCATGTAAGAGATAAAACTAATTATGCTTCATGTATATATAAAACAAATTCTCTAATGAAGCATATGCATTGATGAAGGCCCAATATGCTAACTACATGTATCACCTTCTCTAGTCATCAAAGCGAGTCAGGAAGGATACCTTTTTAGCAACACATTGAGATGGTAAATATTACTCTGTATACATCAAAATAATGAATTACAACATTCTTTAAAAAATCTTATAATTTGACATTTTTACTTACTTATAATCCTAATTAATCAGGTTGTATTATCACATTTTCATAAGGAACTAGAGTATCAATAGAAATAGTTCCTTCTAGTAGTTACACCCATGGACTTGTTATCTGCCTCCCTTAATATTTACCCTTAAGGAACTAAACTCTTGATGTTACTTACTATACTGTATAATCCAATATAAAAATAGAGGATGTTTAAATAGCTAAACTAAAATTCCTTTTAAAAAAACAAATCAAACCATACTCCAAGAAATGTTAATGATTAAGAGTACTTATTTTTCTGAAGAGCTTAATATTTTAGAAATTCAAGCCACAGAAAAAGCAATGAATTATATAGTACAATCTCATACTGACCCTCTGTGGTTTATTGAAGTATAACATCACCAAAGTGCTGAGGTTCACAGTAATTATTACTGGAACACACATTTCTTTAAAGACACAAATCCAATAAAATACACATAGGACATGAATAGTACTCTGTAGCTTATAAGATACCTTTTAAACACTCAAATTAAGCAAGAAAGGTATTATTAGTCAACTTTCCAAATGAGTAAACTGAGATCCTGAAGGATGAGCTCATTTATGTCATTTAACATGTGCAGTATATACAAGACCCTTTATACTTACACACATGTGTGTGCATGTACTCGTGTGCATGTACATGTCAAGGTTTCACAGGTAACAATACCCTATCCAGGGCCTTCAACAATATTTAAAGACTTAAAAGTGCATTACATATCAGAATATCAATTTTCCTCCACTCAACTAACAGTAAAAAATATATACACAATGTTGATAATTCCATGAAACTAGCACTTTTACTCATTGTTTCAACAGGCATGCTAAGCTGGTACAACCCTTGTGAAAAGTAATTTGGCAATAATCTCAAAACAAAAAGTGTTCATGCTCTTTCCTAGTAATTCCATTTCTGGGAAGTTATCCTATGAAAATAACTTAAAATATGGAAAAAGCTATAGATTTTTTATAACATCCTAGATGCTTGGCATCTGAGATTTAAAATTTGGGTTTTGACACTGGTAGTTTAAACAGCTTGTGAGAGAACCACAGGTTGATCCACAGCATATGTAAAGTTGCTGTGAGAGTGAGGAAGTCACGTAACTAAATAGTAAGTGAGCCTGACTGCCAGCATTAGCTTCTCTCTGTGGTCTCTACTAGTTCACCAAGCACAGAGATTTCTAAAATGGGGGGTGGGGGGGCAGAGGTAAGAAAAGCGTCTTTGTTAAAAAATTGTTTTTAAAAAGTTAAAGTCCCTAAAATAGCAAGCCAATTACTTGGCTGGTGATGAAAGTGAAGAGATCTAAGAAAATGCTGATATTTGTGGGTTTGGAATCAGTAACAGCCTTAGGTCACATTTCTTTTCAATGCCATAGGTCTAACTGTTGTGAAAAATTAGAAATATGATTAAATATTCAACAATAGAGAAAGGATCAATTAAACCACAAGCTACATAATCACTCAGTGGCTGAATTAGGGTAACAGAATTATAGACGATAATTTTTCATTTCAAAATATTTTATATGACATTAATATTACACCCACAAATAAAAAAGTCAAGCTAAAAATTGTACTGCTAAATAGAAAAGGGAACAGTTCTCAATTCATTTCATGAGGTCAGGATTACTGATACCAAAAACCAAGAACACTGCAAGAAACGAGAACTATAGACAAATATTCCTTATTAACACAGGTGCAAAATCTTTAACAAAACATTACTAAATTGAGTCTAAACATATGTAAAAAGAGATAACACATAATGAACCAGGGAGGCTTATCCCAGGAAAACTGTATTGCTTAAATCTTCTGGTTACAGATGCAAGTGTAAATATCACTTTTTGGTATTTGCATTACATAACTGTGTTAATAAAGACAAAGGTTAGATCTAATCCACGCAATGTAACTCTTTGAAATATTTTCTATAAAAGTTCTCAATCAAGTTAATTTTAGATCTGCTTTCTCAAACAGTCAACTGAATATTTCAACTGAAAATATGTTCATTTAAAATATCTTCATTCAATAAGTTCATTCTAGGATTAGAATTACAATTACACTATAGTTGACTTTAAAAATAGAATTCAACATTTCTTAATAAAATCAAGGACCTCAAGTAAAAAGTTTCTCCACAAACATCCTTGAGTGGTATGGTTGTATGGCCTTGTTTTGAGACTTACTGCCAAAGGGTGCTCAACCCCTTAAGGCAGGTTTTGTGCTCCTTTTCTGGAAATTCTAACAATACAGAGAATTCCTCTTTATATTACTTTGAAATCTACTTTCTGTCCACTTTTATCCACTGGCAAAAGCACTGATTTCTGAAGTAATAATAGAGATTAAGTCTTCATTTACACATTCATCCTGCAAGTACTTGAAAATAACTATTAAGTCACTTTTTAGGTTTTTCTTATTCAGGCTAAATTAACTCTTAACCACTGTTTATGTTGATAATGCTACCAACCTTCATTTTTTCTTACCACTACTTCGTGTACAAGCCAAACATTTAAAATAAATGGGTTACAACACAGCACTGCATTTCTACAGGAATATGTAAGAGACACATGTCTATCCCAATAAATTTACTACAATAATCAATTCTCAAATATTAAAATATGCTGTTTCTTCCCAAATAAAAAGAAACCATGCAAACAAATGTTTTAGTCTCAGGGCAAAAATATACTAGTTGTAATAAACAGAAATAATTAAATATAAAATACTTAATTTTTAAGCAATGGCGCTATAAGTATGAGTTAACTGAGTAATACTAACTTGTGGTTAGTATTCTTTCATCTAGGGGCTAAAAGAACTGAATCTTTGTCAAAAGTTATACCTAGCTTTAAAAGATATACATATATATAAAAAGCAGCAATCTGGGCCAGCCGAGTGGCGCGTTGGTTAAGAGCTGGCTTGGGACACCAGCTCTGAGCAGCAGGGCCCCGGTTCGGATCCCACATGAGGGCCACTGACACTGCCCTCTACAGCTAAGATGGTGAACAACAGCTCGACCTGGAGCTGGGCTGCCGTGAGTCGCCGGTGACGGCTTAGGTTGCAGCAGCTGCAGTGGGCTGCCGTAAGCTACCGTGAGTGGCCGGCAGCCAGTGTGAGCAGCCATGAGCCGCCGTGAGTGGCCGTCCAGAGGCCGGCGACCGATCTGCCTCACTGGGGAAGAGCGCAATGATAATACCAACATGGGCCAGTAAAGTGACGTCCTCAACTAGACTGAAGAACAAAAGGGCAGCAACTTGTCTGTTCCCCTTTCCCAATTCCCCAATGCTGTTCTTGTCCCCCAATAAAATCTTTAAAAAAAAACACACAAAAAAACTGCAAAAGTGACCTTTAAAAAAAAAAGCAAAAATAATATTATTGGCAAAGGTACATGGTGATTTGCCCAGGATTACTGAAAAAAATGCATATACTATAAAACAATCCTCATTTATCCTAGCTTTTATCTTTGTTTAGCTTTGACATGGTTTTAATCAGTATTGAACTACTCTTGTTGAAAGGTTCAAGGTAGTTATAAAAACCACTTACTGTACTATACTTCTTTGAGTATTAACAGCAAAATTGAGATGGAAAACTATGTATTATATTTTGTGTTAGTGAAACCTCACTAATTAAGGTGCAGTAAGGGTTATGGGTGAAAAGTCCACTTATGAATCACATATTCTGAAAAAAGTTTAATGACTTCAGAACACATGATACCTGGATTCAAGTTTCTATATCCTGGGAATAATGGAATCAAACCTAGGAAAGGTTTACTTTCATAAATGGACAGGAATAACTTGTAGTTAGTAAATCAAAGAAACCAAGAATAAGCCGGCAAGAGTCAAAACACTAGTTCCTAAGTGAATTAAATGATGTATGCAAATACCATGTTAACTTTTCCCCCAAAACATTCCTGGAAAATAAGATTTTTAAAGTTTATGTTTCCAAAGAAGAGTTAATCTTCTTTTCCTTCACATCTAAAATGCACTCAACATCCTAAAATAAAGAAAAGCAAGTGAACATGTATTTAGTTAATATCTAATTCTTACCTGGAACCCACTTAATTTCCATTTCCATGTCATTTTCTTTGCTTTTCTTCTCTTTTTCTTGAATAACTTGCAAGAGTTGCCTATATTTAGCAATTTGTTCTTCATCATCTTTCTGACTTTTTTTTGTTTTCCCATCTTCTTCTACACTGACAACATCACCACCTAACAACAACAAAAAACAAATTTCATTTAATGCATAGAAATAATTCACATCTAACTCCAGTGTATAAATCTCAGTCAATCCAGCATTCTCCTAAAAGATGTTGTCAGACATACTGTAACAACAGATTATCAAAATCAGACTTAAACGTCTTAATATTAAATTAACTGAATCTAAGACTTAGGTCTTGTTTATAATAAAATCGGTTGCAATGTAAGTTAGTATTGTCATGGAAGTACATTTGGGAATCTCCCTTTTTAATTAAATTCATATTTCAAAATAATTCTATAATCATGTAACATCCTCAGACTTCGGTTCTCTATAAGCAAGACAGCAAGAATGACATTTTTATCCCTCTTTACATCCTCTACCACCCACTATAGAGGTATTAAAATGTTATGGTCAATAAAAGGAGGCGAAATATTGTTGGGATGCATTTGATTTAGCTGTTCATGCTGAAGAGACAGATAAAGGAAATTGCTTGTAATCCGAAATGAAGAATAATGAGTCCTTTCCATTTGATGGTGAGCAAACATGCTTAGTTTCAGGATGTCATTAATAAAGAATGAATAAATTAGAAGTTTATTAAATTAATTTTCCTGTGTGGAAAAATATTCACATTTCCATTTCCTAATTTTATAAAAATAATTAGAATACAAAGGAACAGTATGAAATTCATGGGAACACATACCAAAGAAAATGAATACGTGAAAAGTTTGTTTGCTCTATATTTCCACCATTATTCTCGAAGGCAAAAACATAAAATAAGAACCTGGGTTTTAATGCAAAACATACAGACTTACTGAATTGACTAAATATCCTAGTAAAGAAAAATTGAGAAGCAGAATAAAGAAGACCTTCTCTTCTGAGAGTTATGGCTAACCAGTCACTAAACATGTCTGACATTATTAAGCATTTAGCTGTGAAACATCAATGTTAACAGATTGTCCTTATATCTTAAAAAAAGGTGATATGGAAAAAAGATTGGTTAAGTAAATGTTTTTATATTTTTTTCTCTAAATGAATAAAAAATACTCCAGGACATTCTTTCCATCCTATCACACTTTTACATTTTCACTCAAACAGCTGAAATTCATTTTTTTCCTGTTTGTGCTTTGTGCCACAATAATACTGTTGGATGGAATTCTGTCATGTATCCCGTAATTCAATGGATAAAAACATCAGGAACACATTAACAAAATGGCAATGTATTTCTTTCTATTAAAAGCTTACTTCTGAAAACATAATTAGAAGCAAGCTCCTTCCAGGTTGAAATTTTAGTGGTAAGTCTCTGATGGCCTACTTTAAATTGATTTTTTCCAGTACTAAAATTTTACTTTCTGAAGCCCTACAATGTAGGCTAATTCATGTAGGTCTGTTTTTTCCCCAATTCAAGGACAATGCTTTGTGAAAGCCTTAATACTATATAAGGAGTGAAAAATAAAATTGTAACAGTAAGGAGCCCTGCTATGATTTCTTATAAGCAATACCAGGAACATCTAGTAACTCTAAAGCATTCAAATATACTATTATTGTATCTAACAGAGGTACAAGTTACAGATTACAGTAAGTTTGCAGTCAATTAAAATACTGAAGAAAAATGCATGCTTTTAAAATTTTAGTGAGTAGTATATTTCAAACAAAAAGCCATTAATCCTTAAAGTTTCAGATGTAAAAATATACGATACGAGTTAGTATGCTAATCACTTTATGTACATTATCTCAATCTTTCCAGCCATTATTTAGGTACTATTATGATTCTCATCTGATAGCTATGAAAAGAAAGGCACAGGGGCTAAGAAAACTTAACCTATATAACTTCACTACGTGGTGAATTCACGACTTGAAACCAGCAGAGCCCAAGATTTTAACAAGAATATACTGACAAATTAAAGCTTATTTCTCCACAATATTGCTGGGTTGTTGGAAAAGTCATGACGTATTTTTGTTTTTTGTTGCAAAAATGCATCATGACTTTTCCGACAACCCAAGAGTTGTCCTAATGTCAATACTGTCATTTTAAAATCTAGGTTAATTCTCTCAAACCAAAGAAAGAAAGCTATTTGAAAAGCTTATACCCAATCTTCACAAGTGTACGTGGAATGTCCTCTTTTTTTTCTTTATCTTAGAGCTGCTAGTGAAGAAAAACTACCCGAATTTTCAGAAACGTGCTAAATGACCATATAGGCACACAGATAAAAAGAAAATATAAATAAGTTAGTATATCTGGAGGGGAAAAAGACATAAAAGCTATTTGAAAAAGGTGAAAAAGGACTTGGCTGTTCTGTGTACTCTAGAAATAAAATGGGCAATCAATTGTTTGGAACGCCAAAGAAATTAACAAGCAACAGCCACGGAGGCCTTGAAAAAAAATGTGAAGCCTTTTGTGCCCAACATAACTACCACTGTAAATCATATACTTTTTCAAAGACTATTAAATGCCTAAGAAATTATGTGGTTTTATTAATATGAGATGTCTGAACAAAGAAAATAGAACAATTAAACATGATTTTCCATTGCATGTGTGGAACATAGTTCAAGAGTAGTGCTTTATGAAAAATTTAGAAAAATGAAGTAATATCTTCAGTAGTCTAAAAGGAATGGTAATAGCCAATTATAGAATCTTTCTCAAGAAAGTTAAGATTTAATGGACTTATGATAATTACTGAAGAAGCATGTTAGGATTTATTTAATTTCACATTTAGGTTATCAAAACAATACATATATCAAAGGAAACCAAAAGGACAGCTATGAAAATGTTAAGCTATAAATAAAAGTAAGAATATTCACCCCTGCTAATTTAGAATATTTATATGTATGTTTAACATTTATGGCTCTTCATTTGCTGTCAGCACTAAACCTCTTACTCATTATTTTGCATGATTAGGAATTCTTCTATTAGATAAGAATAAAGATGTGAAGATATCAGGGAGATAGTATCAACCAAAAACTGCTAAGAAATCATAATCAAGCAACCAAATTTCCAAACAGAGCCAGATCCAATATACGAAAGAAGGGGTGTTTTGAATCTATTTTTAAAAAAATAAAAAAAATGTATATTTTGAGCAAACAGCATGTACAATTTTAAAACATATCACTGATCATTTCAATCATCAAAAATATTTTTAAATAAAGATATAGATAATCTGAGAACTTCTGCTCCCATTAATGGCAAGCTAGATACTTTAGACCAACCTTTCCACTGAGGACATGAAATTGGATTGAATATTTAAGAAATCTTTTTAAAAGCTTCAAAAGGATTTGGAAAAAAAAAAACCAAAAAAAAAAAAAACTTCAAACAAGAGACAAATTAGTGAAGAATTACCAAGTCAATATCAAAGAGAAGGGCGTACCAGAGATAGGATCCCAGTGTTCAAGACCCATTTTGCCCTGAGAGCATTTACTGATACACGAAAGAAACAGCTGTGAGAGTAAACCAGTTTTGGCAGCCTGGCGGTGCTAAGAGGACAAAGTTAAAGACCACAGAGAATGACTTCAACTAGCACCCCTGTATTAAGCAGGGACCTAGAGGAATATATTCTTAGGGCAATGGTCAAGCAGAAGAATTCAGCCTGTATGAAGACTTGTATCACCCACAAAGTCCAAGGGATCTCAAGTCTTAAAACTTGGAGTAATGTGGTCCCAGAATAACCAGATTAAATGAACATTCTCTGATGAGATACTCTCACTTCAAATATCAAATCAGCACACAAACTTAACTAGTAGGCATACAAGTAAATTAAACAGAAATACCTTGTAAAGTAATGGAAATCATTACCATTGAAATTACTGAATATACTGGAATTACCAGACAGATTACAAAACATGCTTTCTGTTTATAAAAATAAAAGCATATAAAGTATCTGCAATGAGTAGAAAACTATAAAAAGCGACATTGTTGATTTGAGAAACAGCCAAGTAAGACTTTTGCAAGTAAAAATCATAATAACTGGGCCGGCCGAGTGGCTCAGTTGGATAAGAGTTGGCTTAAGAGTGTGAGCTCTGAGCAACAGGGCCACCGGTTCAATTCCCACATGGGCCAGTGACGCTGCGCCCGAGCTGAGCTGTCACTGAGCTGCCAACAGGTGGCAGGATGGCTCCTCTGGTGTAACAACAAGATTGCCTGTTTGATGGTGGACTATGCCCACCTGCAACTAAGACTGAACTTGGCACCTTGAGCTGAGATGCCGCCCGGATGGCTCAGTGGACAGAGTGTGCACTCTTAACAACAAGGCTGATGGTTCGACTCCCACATGGGATGGTGGCTACGCCCACCCGCGACTAAGACTGAACTTAGCACCTTGAGTTTAGAGGCCACGAGCTGCCGACGGGCAGCCAGATGGTGACTGGCACCCTCCACAACGAAGATTGAAGAACAACAACTTGGCTGGTCCCCTCCCCAATTCCCCAACACTGTTCCCCTCCCCCAATACCAATAAAATCTTAAAAAAAAAAAAACAATTACAATAACCAAAATTAAGAACTCAATGTAAAGGTCTATCAGCAGATTCAACACTGCTGAAAAAAGAATTGGTGAACTGGAAGATGTGTCAGAAGAAAGTATCCAGAATGCAGCAGAGAGAGACAATAGATTAAAAAAATATATAGGAGTAAAAACATGGAAGTTACAGTGAAAAGACCTAACATATATTTAATTGGAATCACAGCAAAAGGGAAAAGAAATATCCGAATAGATAATGGCTGAGAATATTCCAAAACTAATGAAAGGTATCATGCCAGAAATTCAAGAAACCAAACAAATTCCAAACACAATAAAGAAAAAGAAATCTACTCTTAGTTCACAGTAAAACTGCAAGAGTAAAAGAAAGAGAAAACTTTAAAATCAGTCAAAGAAAAATATCCAGACAACCTTCAAGACTGAAAAATGTTCAGCTGACAGCTGACTTCCCCAAAACAACAATGAAGCCAGAAACCAGCAGAATATTATCATCAATGTGGTGTTGGAAAGGACTGTCTACCTAGAACTTTTTACCAGTAAAAATTATCTTCACAAATGCAAAATAAGGACATTTTTTAGACTTATCTAAAACTCAAGAGTTTGACACCAGCAGATATTACCGGAAATTACTGAGTTTTAGTTAAAGCAGAAGGAAAATGATCCCAGACAGGAGTCTGAGATGTAGTAAAGAATACAGAGGAAAAGAAGTGGGGAAATTTAAAGGAAAACATTACAAAACAGTAATATTAATGTCCCGTGGGACTTCAAAAAAAAATTAGAATTACAATACACAGGATACCTGAAAAGTTGTTTTAAGATTTCTTGTATTGGAGGATAAAACTATTAATTATCATTAAAGTTTTCTAAGTTAAGGATGCAACTCATAATTTCTAGGACAAATACTAAATGAAAAGAAACAGAATCTACTTTCTAAACTAGTTGAGAAGAAAAATGGAATGCAAAATAAATATTCAATCAATCCAAAAAAAGCTCTTAGTTTAAAAGGGGGGGTGAGGGATAGTAAAGGATTTTATTTTATTTTATTTTATTTATTTTTTTGGCTGAGCCATCCTGCTACCTGTTGGCAGCTCAGCGGCAGCTCAGCTCAGGTCGGGACTTGAACCGCTGTTGCTCAGAGCTTGCACTCTTGAGTGAGCTCTTAACCAACTGAGCCACTTGGCTGGCCCAAGGATTTTACTAGTTTATTAAGAGACTGCATAACTATGTGAACTATGAAAAATCTAAAAGGCCAGGCTTTTTCAGTTGGGTCACAGTTTTAAAGGAAGTGTTTATGGTTAACAAAATTCAGGCTAAGAAAATACTTCTAAATAAAAATTTCAATTACTATCTAAGGTGTATGTAATACTATATGTGTGAGTATGCTTTGCAGACAATTTAAAAATTAGTCTGGTACTCCCTTTTAAACTACTGCCAAAGACACATTTCTACTACCAAGTCCAGGTTAGGCACCCAAATGCTTATATGAAAAACATCAGAAAATTAGCAACTACCTTGTAGTTCCTTTTCTATTTCCTCTTCATCTTCACTAGAGGAAGCTAAGTATGCTTGAAAATCCATGTCCAAAAGCTCTTCCTTTTTAAACTTCCTGTTGAGTGTTGTAATTCTTTCATGATCAGTTTCATCCCAAGTGATCTCCACCTTTCACCAATGAAAAAGAAAAAACAAATAAAAATGACAATGTTAGGCACCCAAACTTGTTAAAGAATATTGGTCATTAACTTGTATATTTAATAGTAAGCTAAAAAAAGTTCAGACATGCTAAAACAAATAATAAATGACATGCTTAATAAAAACTATTCTATTTGTGGAAAGGGAACCATTTCTATTAACCTGTGCCTTCCTCCTACTAATTCTCTGCTGTATACAAGGTACTCCCATACTGGGAGTAAAAATTCATCAGTGCGTGGATTCATTGTGGTGAAAAGAAATTTTAAAAATGCACTAGCGAAAAAGTTAGCATTATGATGAATCAGTGAAAACATGTTTTTCACTTGGAGTTCTAGGTATTTCAGGGCTACAGACTACATGAAATCTGTTGATGAAGCTTTCAACACAATCTCAGCAGGGTCTATTTTCCTAAAAAGATTAAGGGCCACTGATGAGAAAAGCATCTATTGGTTGGAAGTACAGTAAACCTCCATATGACAGGAATTCATCTAAAACACGATGGGTCTAGTGACTGGCTCCTGTCCTCTACGAAGCCGGCATGCCTTTTAGAGGTTTTATCTTCATCACAGGGTGGGTCTCACATCCTTGTTTCTCTTGATGCTAATCTCACCAGATCAGAACAACAAAATAGACACTAATTAACCAAGGAATCCGATCCTTAGAATAGCTGCCATTGTCTTAGAAGTTCTAGCTAGTCACAGGATTCAGAATTATCCCTATTCTGATAATTAAGTCTGAGCTGATGACCACAAAACCACCACTGGAACTGGGACAGATGTGGATGATACAGCCAGATCCTAGGAACTCCAGACTGGCTGGCTGGACAGGCTTGCCCTGGTCATTTTTTAGTCATGACTCTACATTTTATGTGACCGAATCTTTTAGACTACTTATTGCATAATGGTGGGGTTTTACTATATTCAGTAACTAATCAAGGCCACACAGTACCCACCACAGTATACAACAGATACAGAAACCCCTCTCTCTGTCATCAGCCCGTCCTTAGAAGAGCATGGTGGTCTGACACAGAAAAGGCTGTGGGAAGCCTGTATGGCTGCTGCAGAGTCCAGCTATGGATAGGTTAATGATGGGGGGCAGGGAGAAGGTAGGTAGCTAAGTAACAAGCTAATTCAGTAGAAATCTTTTGGCTATTTGTTATTAAACATTAATGTAACATCTAATAGTCCTGAATTATTCTATTTCAATTGTTTTTATAATTTGGTATCATATCTGCAGAAAAAAATGTGTTTCTATTTTAAATTTCTACTAGTTTTAAGTATAATTTGAGATAATCTGTTACCTCCTTCCCCTATTCCCTAGGGTATTAATAACTGACATATTACTTATTGAAAGATCTAGTTCAATGTAAGTATATGAAAAAGACAGAAGAGAAAAAAAGAAACATTCTCAGGTAATTGACTCGGGTGTAAAGGTGTAACAAAAATCTGAAAATAGGTTCAAATGGGTATGGTAGGTAAAAATGCAAATATGTACACTTGTGTCTTACTTCTATTCATATTTGTGCATTAAAATTTTGAATACTTTCCATTTCTAAAAATGTCATAAATAAATAGTACAAAGTCTTTTCTTTTTCTTGTTTTTTTAGCTGAGCCATCTTGCCACCTGTTGGCAGCTCAGCGGCAGCGGTAGCTCAGCTCAGGCCAGGAAGCAAACCAGCGGCCCTGTTGCTCAGAGCTCGCACTCTTTAGTGAGCTTTTAACCAACTGAGCTACTCGTCCAGCCCACAAAGTCTTTTCTTAAAGCAATAGAGTCTAGCTACACATTTTTAAAAGTTAAGAGATACCGTTGATGTTCCCATTGCAGCAGATGTGAAATATTTTGGTTTATATGCTGTTAAATCCACTTCTAAGGCTACGTCCTTGGGCTCATCATCAAAAGTAATATCATCTGGTATAAACCTAAGAAACAAAGAAAAAAATAAATTTATTTAAACATATGCTGCAGCAATAAACAACCAGAGTTTAGATTCTCTTCTAATTAGTTATAGTTTATACATACATACCATATAAAAAAGTTTCTACAGAACACACATGTAGATGAGGCAAACAATGTTAGAAATAACCTTGGCACAAAATGTCTGAAATTCATAAGCTATAGATCTGTAATTCCACTAAATTTAAGTGAACTCTATGTAGGTAGAAAGCCTGCATTAAGAGTCAGCTAATATGAGTCAGGTGCAAACACACATGGGTCCCTCATGTTTCAAAAAAACCTAGACTCCAGATAGTGCAGTCACTGGCTTGCTACATGATATTCTGAAGATCAGATAGAATTATTAATGGGTAAGAGTTCTAAATATAAAGTATCATACACTGAATATAAGGAAACGCTTAAGGTTGATTCTTCAAGACTAAAAAATCCTAACAATGTTATCTTACATTTTTTCCACAAATAGCTGTTACATGTAAATTAGCCACTATAATTGTTAGACAATTCTTAGGCATCAGGCTAAGGAATTGGGGGTGGAGTGGGGGTGGAGCAGAGTTAAATAATCAATGGTTACTATACTTAGGTTTCTAAATTTATGTAAGAGATTTTATTTCCAAACACACAAAAACCATATGCTGTATATTCCATCAAAAATGATTTTGGGGGGCCGTGCTTGCTTCGGCAGCACATTCACATACACTAAAAATGGTTTTGGGGGGAGGAACGGATAATTAAAGTTCATTACATCTACATAATATCCTCCTCCAGCTACACTTTTTCACACACTGAGTAGAAGAAAAATGAATATCTGAGGTTAATGTTTTTAACTGTTATTAATACATATGCTTTTATATTCTGGGATAGATGAAAAAAGGTATCCTTAGATAACTGAATGGCAGCAGAATACTTGGTTTTCTTTTCTGATGTTATATATGACAAAATAAAACACAGAATGTAAATTTTTTCCATGGTCATCAGTCTGACTTTCTAGGCACTGCCAGAGCTTATTCTAATCACTGCATGGGAAATGCCCCCCAAAAGGAAACAGAAAGAACAGAATGATCCTAAAAAGAACATGTTGACATTAATTCATGATACCCAAAGAGTCTGACATTCTAACAAATGTTTGGTAACTACTACTTAAACATTCAAAACAAGCACTCCTACTATTGAAATTGTTAACAGAAAAGAGAAGGAAATAGCTTGCCTCATGAGATATGCCCTTCTTTCTCTATACATAAGCATGCTAAAATCTTACCCCAAATTATCAATCCAAAAATCTTTATTTGTATTTTTCTACCAGTCGGATTGCCTTTGAAGTATGAAAGCCATAGTGACAATGAATTGATGCATTTTTTTTTTCCTGAAAATATTTCATTTTGAAAACAAAGCCTCTAACCAACCTGAATACAACGAAGTGATTTCTACTGAAAAGTATAACAGTAGAATGGTGTACTGGGTTCAAAAGGACTAATGATAAAATGGTGCAGCAGTTCAGCTTCCCATTTCCGTAGAACTGACGTTAACCACCACCTCAGGCATTCCGGCTCCGGGCGAGTGAAGCCTGAGCGCACAGTGGAAATAACGCCCAAGCCTGACGACAACGCCAGCAGTACCGTCCATTCACTGAGCAGCACTGAGAGAAATGCTGTCCAACAGAACTGCCTGTGATGATGACAACATCCTGCGTCTGCTCTCCCACATGGGGCCATTAAATACTTGAAATATGTCTAGTGCAACTTAGCATATACATTTTATGTTTTTAACTCAATGAATTTAACAAGTCAGAGTATCTGTGGCTACCATATTGGACAGCACAGATCTAGAGGTGCCAGTTTATCAGCAAATTCCTGTTCCCCCATTTTAATGTTTTGTTAAGTTAATTCCCCTAGTTCCTAGTTCGAAAAGACAGTTGCAAAGAAGTACCACTATGTATAAACCCATCACCTTAAAAACATAGCCAACATATTTGCTATGCATAAACGTGGGGTGACTCATACATAATACTTCAGGATTTCATCATTCCAGTTTTCTTTTAAGAGTGATGTTCCCTGAGAGAGAGTTTATCCAAAAGCAAAAAATCCTCTCTTAGAATATGAAACAACAGAGAGCACTACCAGTTCTAATATTTTACTTCTTATAATCATGTTGGGCTACAAGATTAAATTGGTAAAACACACATTGGGTTACCTTAGATCTATGAACGAACAACTACTTTCGAATTCCAGTCCATCACAATTCTCATAAAGTTTACCAGCTGTTTCAGGAGAATCACAGTCTACTACTGCATAATAGTACTTCAGTCGTTTGAATTGATAATCTCTCAGTTTTTCTCTAGAGGTCCTAAAAGGGGAAAAACTCGTTAAGCTTACTTATACAGGAACACAAATACCTATATCCCTTTAAAAAAATAAATGTAATTGTTTCAAGAAAAATATATTACAACCTTCATTCCAATCCATCCTTTCTTCATGACTTCTCCTTTATGAACATTAAATACTAAATACTTAAGTTCAATTTATTATTTTGGCAAGGTACAGACTAGGTATTTGGATTGGAATTTGGTACCTAGCAAAGGAGAGTATAAGAATTACCTGCGCTTACCCATGATTTTAATTCTTAGAATAGTTATTCTGTTTGTTTTGGTACCATATATACCCTTCTCAAGTAAAACCGATGGAAAATCACTGTATTATAAAATATGCTAGGAAAGCATTAGCTCTAATTATAAATAAATTATGTGTTGTCAAGTCTAAATGTTTATATATTTAATTTCACTTAACTACAACATACTCTTTGAGAGTATTCATCGGCTCTCTTCCGCCACTAATACATAATAGTTAACCATTTTTATTAAGTGCTCATATAGCTCCACCTAGTGGTTTAAAGACAACTTTGATTTTTATTTTTCTATACATTGTCATGACAAAGGACTTTTTGTTATTCTTTTATTTTTCTATTTAATCCTCAAATTAGAAAATAGAGTTTCAATGCCACTTATATGGGAAGCAGCGTCTTAGAAAAAAGGCAAAACTTATTAATTCAGAGCAATGAAGCTGAGAACTCTAAATCAGTTTAATGCTGAAATGTTTTTCAAAACTACAACTTTTATGAATACAAAAATAGAAATATGCACACAAAATATTCTTGAAATAGTGTGCCACTTCTGAAAGACTCTAATTTGCTTTGCAACCTGTTTTAAGCATGAATGGCGTAAGTATAAACTTTAGTCCTAATTTTCAAATGATCAGAATTCTTAATTAGTGACATGAACTTTAGTTTTATTATTTAAAATGATTTAATACCAGTCCTTTTCAGGGACATCTTCAGGAATACTTAATAACTCTACTGGTCCTTGAACTTGCTCTTCCTTCATCCTCTCCTTTCCAAACTCTGAAGGATATATCTAAACACAAAAAAGTAAGATCAATGAATTTATACTTTTCTTACAACAGCCAGACCTGTCAAGGTCAGGAACTCTTGAAAGTTACAACCAGATGAAAACAGCAAAGATGACTCACTTCCAAACCCAATATAGGAAGCTAAAACATCCTGAGGACTCTCCTTAAAAATTGTCATTTTGGCTACAGAGTTACAGATGTGGGGCTTGGAAACAAAAATAGAATATGTCCTCCAAACATGATGGTTCTGGGATCCAAAGGAAAAATTAAGAAAAGCAAAGTAAGATTCTAAACTCAAGGAACTCAGTGTAAACACATACACTGAAAATGACCAGATTAACACAAAACTATTAAAGAAATATATAAAACGTAAGTAATGAAGAAAAACCATTTTGTAATATCACCTTAATTTTACATCGTATCATTTATTCAATACTTTCTTTCCAAAACATTCCTTTTAAAGTAAAAGCAAAAATAAATGAATGCAGTCAAACTAAAAAGCTTCTTCACAGCAAAAGAAACCATCAACAAAACAAAAAGACAACCAACCGAATGGGAGATGTTCGCCAAAAACACCTCTGATAAGGGGCTAATACCCAAAATATATAAAGAACTCATACAACTCAACAACAAAAAAACAAACAATCCAATTGAAAAATGGGCTGAGGGCTGGAACAGACACTTCTCCCAAGAAGACATACAGTCAAAAGATATATGAAAAGATGCTCATCTTCACTAGCTATTAGAGAAATGCAAATCAAAAGCACAGTGAGATACCACCTCACAACAAGACAAGTGATACCAACTGTGGAGAGGCTGTGGAGAAAAAGGAACCCTCATACATTGTAGGTGGGAATGTAAATTGGTACAGCCACTATAGGAAACAGTATGGAGGGTCCTCAAAAAATTAAGAATAGAATCACCAGATGACCCAGCAATCCCTCTTCTGAGTCTCTACCCCAAAAATCTGAAAGCATTTATCTGTAAAGATAAATGTGCTCCGATGTTCACTGCAGCATTATTCACGGTGGCCAAGATATGAAAACAACCAAAGTGTCCTTCCACAGATGACTGGGTAAAGATGAGGTACATAATACACAATGGAATATTATTCAGCCATAAGAAAGGATGAAATAATCCCATTTGCTACAACATGGATGGATCTTGAGATTATCACACTAAGCAAAATAAGTCAGACAGAAAAAGTCGAGAACCATATGATTTCACTCATATGTGGGATATGAAACTGAAAGCAACAAATGAACAAGACAAACAAACAAAAACTCATAGACACGGACAACAGTTTAGTGGTTACCAGAGGGTAAGGGGGGTGGTACAAAGCGGGTAAAGCAGGTCGCATAAATAGTGATGGAAGGAGAATTGACTTCGGGTGGTGAACACGCAATGAAATATATAGAGGATGTATTGTAGAATTGTATACTTGAAACCTTATAATTTTACTAACCAATGTCACCTCAATAAATTTTTTAAAAAAGTAAAGACATTCCTTTTTAATAGAATGGAACTGATGACAATCTTATTACATCTTATTACATAGATTAGACACAGTCTTGGTAGAAGAAAAAGGATTCATCCTTACCAGGATTTTGTATTTTTATATCTTGGCTACTTTTGAGTCAAGAAATATAAATGAATAGTAATTTGCATTGTTTTGACACTACAGGGCATGATATACATTTAACTAATACATACTTTTTTGAATTGCATGAAATATGCAATTCATCAACTAGGGGATCTGAGTTTTTCTTATTAGTTTGAATTGCATATAATAGGTTCTGATGTAGAACTTCTAAATATACATGTAATCCGATCTGTTGATTCCTTTTTTTTTTCTCTTTTCTAAGTCTAGAAATTCCTACTACCAATCTCCTGAAACACAAGATTTAACAAAAACACAATTATATTTTATTCTGCTTTTGTGGTTTGATTTTTAACTTTTTTCTTTACTTCATCTGAAGTTTATTTTGGACACTTTGAAGGTGAGGATCTGAACTAAGTTCTGTATACAAAGACTTGTCCATTTGTCCCGATGCCATGATCTACATCATCATATAAACTCTTATTTTTACCTATTCCATTCCATCAATTTGTTCCACTATTTTTACCCAAACCTGTTAATTCTTGTTGCATTATAAAATGTTTATATATTATAATTAGTAAGGTAAATCCTTTTATACTGGTATGATTTCTCAAAATTTATTAATCATCCTCACTTGTTTATTCTTTTAGATGATTACTGGCATCTTTTAAGTTTCACTTGAACTGAGATTTTGATTGGAACTATACTAAAACTGTAGAACTGACATCTTTAAATATTTAAACACAATAATTTAGAGTTGTTTCAGGCACTGTACTACTCAGTGTGAGAAACTTTTCATTTAATCCTTACAACTACACTAGGAAGTACATCCACTTGTCAGATGAGAAAACACATTTGAGAGATTAATAAAATGCCCAATGGGGTCACATAGCATGTATTAGAATCAAGATTTGAATGCAGGTCTGTCTTACTACAAAGCCTGGATTTCTCATTGCTATGCTGGTTCTCTAGAAATATGGTATCTCGAAATTTAAGTTTTCCAAATTTATCAGGTATATGAAGTTTACTTCATATAGGTCATGTGTTTAAGGTACTTCTCAAGGACTTTATATGTTTCTGATGGTAATAAAAATAGGATTTTTTCCTTAATTGATCAATGTTCGTAATAAATAATGTAATTTATTTCTTAAATATTTATCTTATACTCCATCCTTTTACTGAGCTTGAATTATAAGTTCTCAATTGATTTATTTGTTTTTAAATTATATACAATCATATAACCCATCAATAACAATTTTACCTCTTCCTTTCTACGTTTTATACCTGTTATATCAGTTTTATGTCTAACTGTATTATCATTTCCAGATAAATTATTTTCCTTAAAAGGAAAGCTACGACTTAAACAAAAAATGAGAATGAACATAAAACACTTACAAATATTTACTTCAAAATAAAATCAATTCCTACCTTTACAGAAAATATAACACCTCCTTTAGATTTAAATGAATTGAACAGAGCCAGCAAATCTTTTGCCTTTATTCTATCCCAGTCCATGTTACAAACGGCTAATCGACGTGTAATCTAAGAAATGAGAAAAATTATATTATATAATCTATGTCATTCTCGATGGCTGTACAATAAAGATACTAAAAATGTAATGCCTTTTTTCTCCCATATTCTGAAATCACCAATATTTATCTAAGGAGTTTCAATATGTAAAGGAGAACTTCAGGTTAGTCATACAACAGTTCATCTGTCAACAGATAGGTACTTTCTCTTACTTCATTCTTAGTCCTTGAATCAAAACATGATGATGAGCTGATTTTGTTAAGCTATTTTGCCACTCATGCATGAACAGGGAAGTTGAGTGTGGTACCCTATATCATTTCTGATAGGTACAACAGAATCTGACATCAAGATACTTTCTAAAAATTTTTTGTGACTTTTAATTATTTATGTAGAACTTCTTCCTTATCTGCTTGAACAGACATCTAATTTATGTAGATCTATTCCATATCAAGAAGTTTTAATCACAATTATCAAGAGTATCATTTACCAATAAAGCTTCTCTCACTTAATGACATCAATCCTACCATCCATAAAAGCTACTTGTACTGTGTTCTTCACAAATGATCTTATTTATTCAAAAGTATACCTCATCACCTCGAGGAGCATCTTTATCTAGTTCTCTCCAAGCATGCTCAAAACCAGATTCCTCTGAAAGTAAATCTACCATATCTTCTTCATCTTCGGAACTAGTTTCTATATTTCCTTTGCCTCTTGCAAGATCAGGTCCACTGTCACTTTCATCATTATCCTCACTATCATCATCTTCATTCTCCTCATCATTTTCATCTTCTTCATTATCATCATCATCATCATCAACAGCTGAAGCTCTACCAATGCCTGTAATTCCATCTTCAGATTCTTCATCATCATCATCATCATCATCATCATCATCATCATCATCATCATCAGCTCTACCAATGCCTATAATTCCATCTTCAGAGTCTTCATCACCAATTTCACTAGCACTTTCTGAATCTTCCTTCAGAGCATCTTTATCAAACATTTTACCAGTTGTGTTTTCACAACCATCACTGTCTCTAGCGGTTATGAATGGAACCACTGCAAAAAAGTTAGAGGGAGAAATCAAGATAATATAAACACTGAATCTAAGTTATTCTGACCTCCAATCCAGTAAAAATTTCAGTAAATAATTTCTATGAAACAGACTAAAGGAAAATATAAATTCAGCAAAATTCATACCTAGCCAACTTAATAGAAATCTTAACATATATACGCAAGTCATATAAGTAGATTAATACATTAATTCAATATTTATGAAGTGCCTGCTATGTGCTAGGTGCTCAATATACAATCATTGGCAAAAGAGGGCAATCAATGTCCTCAATCAACTTCCAGTCTAGTAAATAGGACAGATGGACAGAAACTGGTCAAGTCAAATCAATGCACATTAAAAAAATGTCACTACATGGGCCGGCCGAGTGGCGCGATGGTTAAGAACTCTCTTGGGATGCCAGAGGGCCCCGGTTCGGATCCCACATGTGAGGGCCAGTGACACTGCCCTCTACAGCTAAGATGCTGAACAACAGCTCAACCTGGAGCTGGGCTGCCATGAGTCGCCGGCGACGGCGTGGGCTGCAGTCCCTGTGGCAGTGGATTGCCATGGGCTACTGTGTGTGGCCAGCAGCCAGCGTGAGTGGCCAGCAGCCGCAGTGAGCGGCCGTCCAGAAGCCGGCGACTGATCTGCCTCACCCAGGAAGAGCGCAATGATGGTGCCAACTTGGGCCAGTGAAGCAACATCCTCCACAACTAGATTGAAGAACAAAACGACAGCAACTTGTCTGTTCCCCTTTCCCCAATTCCCCAGCACTGTTCCCATCCCCCCAATTCCCCAATTAAAAAAAAAAATCTTTAAAAAAAATGTAACTACAAATAGGATCAGTGCCAAGAAGAAATGTTATATGATGCTATGAGAACATATAATAGGGGTCTCTAAGTGAGTGATAACTGACTTGCTACTTGAAGAATGAAAAGGAATTAAGTAGTCAAGGTTAGACAAATATAGATTAGGGAAATGTTCCAAACAGCAAGAAAAGCATATGGAAAGATCCACTAATAGAAAAAAGCTGGAAAGCATGTCGGGATTGCACATAGCCAGGAGTTAAGTAAGAAATTAAGCTAAAAAATTACACTATCCAAAAACCACGTAGAAGGTTTGGACTTTGTCACAAAAGTAATGAAAAGCCACTGTTGTTTTCAGAAGGAAAGACATCATCAGATTTGCATATTGAGGAGATCACCTTGACTATGCTGTAAAAAACTGACTGGAGTGAGTCGAGTGGATGTGAACAGAGAATTAGAAGGGTAGTACTAAATTGATGGCAGTAGAAATGTAGAAAAATGAATGGAGTCACTTCTGAGTTTCAGAGTCAGTTAGGAGACAAAACCAATGGTAACCAGTGACAGGGGCTTGGTATGGGGCAAAGGAGTTTTGGAAGTGTCAAAGATGAGTGCTAGCTTCTTGGTTTGCAGAGCTAGTTGGATAGAAAAAAAAAAAAAAAGGTAATGTTGGAAGGCAACCAGTTTGTTTGGCTGAAGTAGATCTTGAGCTTAGTTTCGGCTATGTTGAATTTGAAGTGCCTTTGAGTCATCTAAGAAGAAATAGCAAGAAGGCCACTGGCTGTAGAGTCTACAGCTCAGAGAAATCTGGGCTGGAGATAAAATTTTTAACTCATTCATGTGTAGTGATAAAAGAAGTTGTGATGTGAATAACATCATCTATGAAGAGAGTGAAATAACTTTTTTGCTAAATCTTGAACTTTGTAACTAATCTATGATTAGCAATATATGAAGAGTGAAAGGCTATTGGGTGGTCGGAAAAGTCATGACGCATTTTTGCAACGAAAAACATAGAAAAATACGTCATGACTTTTCCGACAACCCAGTATTTTCACTTAAATTGGATATTTTAAGCCCTCAAAATTCTGAAAAGGCTCATTTTCTAATTCTAAAACAATCATATGCTTCTATCTACTGTGTGTGTGTGTGTGTGTGTGTGTGTATTTATCTTTATCTTATCTTACATGTTTTATTTATCTTTAAGTTGAACCTTAGTTTAAGACTAGGAATGAAATTGGAACTTAGTTTTTCTCTTGGTCATAATCTTATAATAGTCATTCATTGACCAAATATTAAAGTATCTACTATGTACAAAGCATTGAGCTGGGGAACGGAAAGGGAGATGATTTGTAATATGATCCCATGCTCTTGATGGGTTCGTAAACAAATTATTGGGTTGTCAGAAAAGTCATGATGCATTTTTGCAATGAAAAACAGAAAAAAATACGTCATGGCTTTTCCAACAACCCAGTATTTACTGATTTATGAAGCTATGTTCTAAAGCACCACAGAGAGAGCAATTTGCCTCTATCTTGAGTGACCTCTTCCTCCAAATTCTACAGTCCTCTGCTGAACATCTTTTGCACTTAAAATTACTGTATTTCATATTATATTTCTAATTTCTTCTACTTTAGATCTGTACCGTCCAATACAGTAGCCAGCAACTACAGGTGGTAACTGAGCACTTGAAATGCGGCTCATCCAACTTGAGACTAGTATGAAATAAAATGTAAAATATCCCATTAAATTTTTTATATTGATTACACATTGAAATATTTTTTGATACATTGGGTTAAATAAAATATATTAATAAAATAAATTTCACCTGTTTCTTTTTACTTTTTAATGTGTTTACTAGGAAATTCAAAATTATGTATTTCTATTGGACAATGCTGCTTTCAACCAGGGCCACTGCATAGTTAAGGCTAGAAACGCTGAAATCAAGGCCAACCTCCACTCACCAAGCTATGCACTGTGCAGGGGGGGTATATTTGCTCAGGAGAAAAGAACCTGTTGCTTCACTCAAAGGTGGTGTCCCTTACTAAACTGTGAGTTCCGTATGTCCAGAAGGGTGTACCTTTTTCTAATATGCACAGGCATTATATAAGCTAGCAGTAGCTCTGAGAGGGGAACCATGTCTTACACATATTCTGTTCTATCTGCCAAATACTAGTCATTAAAGTAGTTGAATGAAGGAACGAGTGACTACTCAACTCTACTACCTTCTTCAGACACACCTCTTATCACTTGATAAATACATATAATATTTTATCAGATGAGAGAATACAGCTTTCACTAGGGCCCACCAATCAAATTCACGGTTTAGCTTCATGAGTCAAATTTCCTTATTTCTTCTAGTCATTATGGCACCAAATCAAAAATTAACAATGATTACACAGTACTTTTTCTTTCGTACCTTTATACTTTCAAATAAGCACTTGACAATTCTCATTATACTATGAAAATACTCACTACATATGCTTACTTTTAAAAAAGATCAGTATAAAAATAACATAATACCAAAGAAGCCTTATTTTTTTTTTTCAACAAACCTGTCTGTATTTCTCTTCTTGTCTCAGAATACTTGATCTTGGGAGATTTCACAATTTCGGAAGTGCTTGAGTCTATTGTCCTCAGTCTTCCTTTGGGATAGGAGTCTGTATTATGTTGAGCAATATTTTTTTTGCCTTTCGTACTTTTTGGTGTAAATTTTTCACCATCTTTTTTGGGACTTATTTTTAAATCTACCTTCTTAGATTTGCATGAGTTTTTCATTTTCTGAATTGTGTCAGAGTTATCTAAATTGTTTTTATTTCCAGAATCCTTTTGGTTAATTTTCTTGGTTTCTTTCTTTTTCTCCTCAACTAGATTTTTTGATTCTATTTTACTTTTAGTTTGGGGTTTTTTCTTCTCCATTTTCTTTTGGTTCAATTCTTTGTTGTTTTCATCAGAGAGATCTGAATCAGAATCTGAAAGGTCATAAAAACGTTTCAAGTCCTCTGTAGTGCTGTGGTTGATAGGACGTCCTCTTATATCCACAGCATAATTCAACTTGAACTTTTTGTCATGAAACATTCCTCGAAATCTCTTGTCAATTTTGACTTTTCGATCTTTTTCTGGCATTTCCCAAAATCTCGGGTCTTTTGTAACCCGCCTAAACCGCAGGTCACTCATTATTTCTTGGTTAGAGGCCATTTTTAAAACTCCGACCGGACAAATGCTTGAAGAAATCAAATACTAGAAAAGAAAACAAATGTTACAATAATGCAGGGTTAGTAATATAATTAAATTAGATGCTTTGGGGAAAAATATTAATTCACAATATAGGGTAAATTAAATGCAAATAAAGGTAACAAGTCTAGTTTCACTTAGAAACTTATTCTGAGTCACATGCAGAAAACCAAAAACTATCATTTTGATTACAGAGCATCTGAAGAAATAAAGTTAAGGCAAAAGCAAAAAGAATTACATGGCAAATGTTTACTAGCCAACTGCACTCACTTAGAATTTCTATATTTCTATTTGTATACCTGTGTTACAAGTTAAAAGCTAATGTAATTAAAACATACCCAAGTCTCAACTGGTCTCATTTTTTCCTTTACATTTTGGTCCCATTCTGTTAATACTTACCTTGTGCCACTTCAAACAGCCTTTATAGTTCCACAAGGCTAGTCTCATAACTAAACAGACCAAACTCCAGTCAGGTTTAGTTCACAAAGTTCCCTCTTTAGATCTGACCATCCTTCAAGAACCACATAAAGTCTCACTCTAGTTAATAAATATCGCTTAATATCACTTCTTGTTCTAGAAGTGACCAAGGCCCAAATGGGCTGATTCTCCCTAAAACATATTGGAATATGTGTGTGTATATAATTAATACTGCTTTTTAAAAATAGTCACTAGTGGCTTAGTATCTCTAGATTTGATTTTAGCAAAGAGCCAAAAGTCACTGATTATTAAGAGCAAAAATCAACTAATCAAACAGGAAGTGGTGCTGTTTGAAAAGCAAGGCTCGACAATAAAGCTATTTCTTTTCCTCAAAATTGAAAACTTTTTATACAGAAAGAAAAATCAAAGATTTAAATAATCCACTTACACACGTAAAAATAGTATTAATAATGGTGAGCTCTTACTATGAGCTTTAGATGTATTAAAACATTTAAGCCTCCGAACACCCTTACGAGTTAGGTACCAGTCCATCCAACTGTCAGAGGTAATGCATATAAATGTTTATAAAGAAAGCACTCGACAAACATCCATATGATATACAGAGAGGAAGGCGACCTGATCTCCCCTCCGACGCCCGCCCTCATCTCCGTAGTCCACCCTCCCCTTATACCCACTCTCTAACGCGGGGAACACCAGAGTAGCCCTAGAACCAAGATCTCCCCAACTCCCAAACATCTGTTTTGGCACTGCTACTGGGCTGAGGTCCCTCGACGGGACCTTTAAAGGGACCAAGGAACTCTGAAAAATAAGGCCGGAAAGGCAAGAAGGAAGGGCCCCCCCCCCCCGCACCCCCAGGAATCCGAGACCCTGTCAGACACTGGTTCTGCTCGCTCCACAGCCCAATCCCAATCCCTATCCCAACCCCAATTCCACTCACCTCCTCGAATCCCTCTCCGAGACTCACGTGGGACCCACACCCACAATCCTCTGCGTGACGCTCCGCCGTAATGGCACGCGAACTGGGCCAAACTACTTCACTTTTCCTCTGCGAAGAGCTCTAGAGTAATCGCCAAAGCCGCGGTGGCGCATGCGCATGACAAGAGCGCCTGCAAGTGGCGTCATCCAGAGAGATGCTGTGGCTGACCCGGCTCTGGCTCCGGCGGAGGCGACCTCCGACTGCGGGGGATCCCACGAAGAACCTCGGTCTCAGAAAGGCCGCCTCTGGCGTCTCTCCTCCGGGCAGCACCTCGCCCAGATCCCTAAATATTTTCGACCGGGATTTGAAGAGGAAACAGAAGAACTGGGCGGCCCGGCAGCCCGATTCTGTGAAGTTTGACTACCTGAAGGAAGAGGTGAGTTTGCGGGGCAGCAGAAAAGGCGGCGCCGAGCCTCGGCTTCGGGTCCAGGAGCTCTGGCCAGGCCCGGACCGACCCCACCTTGCCGTGTGACCTTGAGCAGCGCCTTACTTGTCTGGGCTACTGTAATCACTGCAGGGCTGGGCTCGGATATTTGTAAGGTGCTCTTCATTCGTTCATTTATTCACTCAGCAAACACTGCTTGAGTTTGTCCAGGGCAAAGTAAGACCGCTTTCCTCATGAGGTTTCTTTCTTGTGGGAAGCGAGACAGACAGTGAGCAAAAAATGCAGTTTCAGCTAAAGAAGTAAGATGAGATAATAAAGTGAAGAGCTATAGTGACTGCACTGGTCAGGGAAGGCCGCTCAGGCAGAAGACTTGATGAGGAATTAGCCAAGCTGAGAGAGGAGAGAGAAGCCTTATAGGCAGAGCAAAAGACGAATGCAAAGCCCCTGAGGTAGAAAGGACCTTGTGGAGGCCTGCAATGAAGGAAAGGGAGAGAAGGTCAGGCAGGGCCCAGGATACTAGGGCCTTTTCTTCTCTATCTCAGCTGCCCATTCACTGTGGTAAACTCTGGCCACATGTGGCTGTTGAGCACTTGAAACGTGACTAATCAAATTAAGATGTGCTGTAAATGTAAAATACACTTGGATTTGTGACTCAGTATGGTAAAAGGATGTCACGTATTTCACAAATAACTATATTGATTACATGTGGAAATGTATTTATGTTAATATATATTGGATTAAATAAATATGAGTATGTTAAGATGAAATTCTCCCGTTCCTTTTTACTTTATTTAAAGTGGCTACTAGAAAATTTTAAATTGCATATGTGGCTCTTACTGTTTTTCTATTGGCCAGCACTGCTGTAGAGGAATGTGAGGCTATTGAATGGTTTTAAGCAGTGGAGTGATCTGGTTTATGTTACAGGAAAATCAAAGTTAAGATCCCTGGTTTGTCTATGCTGGTTTGACAGACTTCCTCCTCTCTGCACAGGTGGACTAGGGACTGAGGGTTTTGTCTGGACTAGAGAGGTAGCATCTAGCTCAGGCCTAAGTAAATGTTTCTTCAGGGTGTAGAAAAATTGAAGTCAAGTATAATGAGCTCCTTCAAGCCAATGGCAACAAACACTTACTGAGCTCCTACTTTGGTTAGAGCTCTCTGCAAGCCCTGGCCCGATCAGATGACTGTGTTTGTTTTCAGGGTTCATGACAGCATGTACTTAGATTTTTGCATCCCTAGCCACCCTTCTCCAAGAAAAACTCCTGGATTACAATTTAACTGAGGCCATGCCTGTGTGCAGGGCTGAATAAATGAGATAAATTATATGAGAGTTCTTTTTATAATAAATACAAGGTATTCAAATTAGGAATGATGTAAAAGTGGACTCTGCTGGGAAAAGACTTCTGCTGTACCTCTTCCCTTCCCTGCCCCCGAAAAAAGCAAACATGAGTATGTTCTAAACTTTCAAGTCCTAAAAGAAACTCCGGGATGTTTATGAGGGAATGAGTAGAATGTGGGGAATGCTATTTCATCTTTATTCTTGCCAGATGAAGCTAGCCCAGCAAAAGGGGACACCTACCTTATGACCTCTTTTAAATTGAGATGGCATTAGGGAGGGGTATGAGACGGTTTTTTCAGATTTGGCTTTTTCCAATTGGCAAATATTGCACAGAAAAGTTGTTTACTCAGGAGTTCCACTAAATTTATTAGTAGTCATCAAATAATAGGGTGTTTATTAAGTGATTAAGTTTATACACTGATCTAAACACTGAATAAACCTTAGCTAACTAAATAATTTTTCACTTTCATATACCTTGTGCTAATATTGGTGGACAATAATGTGCCTGTTATGTTCCTGTTGCTTTTCACCCTTGTGATCTTATAGCACATGGACTGTAAAGGATATACACAGATGGTGCCAAAAAAATGTATACACATTTTAAGCAAGGAAAAACTATTAAAATTGTAATACTCAATATATACCGATAACAAAAGATGAATACAAGTCACGTTTGACTTTTGCAATTACAAGAGATGCTCAAAATGGTTACGATCAACGTCCAGACACTTCTAATTACAGCAAACTACTGCATGAGCAACATTGACTAAAATGTCCACTTGTATACATTTTTTTGGCACCTCTGGGAGTGTGTGTGTGTGTGTGTGTGTGTGTGTGTGTATATAGAAAGAGAGAGAGAGAGAGAGAGAGAGAGAGAGAGAGAGAGAGGAATGAGGTTTGTTTCCTGGGATATTTTAA